CAGAGTTGCATTTCATCACACTGAGCCTTACCAATAGGCCAACATTTATACAGACTGGGACACGATTTTTTTTTTTTTTTAAGATTTTATTTATTTGACAGAGAGAGACACAGTGAGAGAGGGAACACAAGCAGGGGGAGTGGGAGAGGGAGAAGCAGGCTTCCCGCCTATCAGGGAGCCTGATGCAGGGCTCGATCCCAGGACCCCGGGATCACGACCCGAGCCGAAGGCAGATGCTTAACGACTGAGCCACCCAGGCGCCCCAGACTAGGACACGATTTTAGTGAACAGAAAACTTGATTTGTTTCCACAGGTAAGCCTTTTTTTTTTTTTTTTTAGATTCAATCAGCCAATATATAGTACATCATTAGTTTCAGATGTAGAGTTCAGTAATTCATCAGTTGCGTATAACACCTAGTGCTCATCATATGGGCCCTCCTTAATACCCATCACCCAGTTACCCTATAACCCCCTTCCCCTCCAGCAACCCTGTTTGTTTCCTATGATTAAGAGTCTCTCATGGTTTTTCTCCCTCTCTGATGATTTCCCATTCAGTTTTCCCTCCCTTCCCCTATGTTCCTCTGCGCTGTTTCTTATAGTCCACATATGCGTGAAACCATGCGATAATTCTTTCTCTGATTGACTTATTTTGCTTAGCATAATATCCTCCAGTTCCATCCACATGGATATAAATAGTAAGTATACATCCTTTCTGAGGCTGAGTATTCCATTGTATATATATATACCACATCTTCTTGATCTATTCATCTGTCGATGGACATCTGGGCTCTTTCCACGTTTGGCTATTGTGGACATTGCTGCTAAACATTGGGGTGCAGGTGCCCCTTTGGATCACTACATTTGTATCTTTGGGGTAAATACCCAGTAGTGCAATTGCTGGATCGTAGGGTAGCTCTATTTTTAACTTCTTGAGGAACCTCCATACTGTTTTACAGAGTGGCTATACAAGCTTGCATTCCCACCAACAGTGTAAGAGGGTTCCCCTTTCTCCTCATCCTCACCAACATTTGTTGTTTTCTGTCTTGTTAATTTTAGTCATTCAGACTGGTGTGAGGTGGTATCTCATTGTGGTTTTGATTTGGATTTCCCTGATACTAAGTGATGTTGGAGCATTTTTTCATGTGTCTGTTAGCCATTTGTATGTCTTCTTTGGAGAAATGTCTGTTCATGTCTTCTGCCCATTTCTTGACTGGATTATTTGGTTTTCGGGTGTTGAGTTTGATAAAATCTTTATAGATCTTGGATACTAGCCCTTTATCTTATATGTCATTTGCAAATATCTTCTCCCATTAGTTTTGTTGACTGTTTCCTTTGCTGTGCAGAAGCTTTTTATCTGGATGAAGTCCCAATAGTTCATTTTTGCTTTTGTTTTCCTTGCCTTTGGAGACATGTCTAGCAAGAAGTTGTTGCAGCCAAGGTCGAAGAGGTTGCTGCCTGTGTTCTCTATGATTTTGATGGATTCCTGTCTCAGTTAGGTCTTTCATCCACTTTGAGTTTATCTTTGTGCATAGTGTAAGAAAATGGTCCAGTTTCATTCTTTTACATGTGGCTGTCCAATTTTCCCAGCACCATTAATTGAAGAAACCATCCTTTATCCATTGGATGTTCTTTCCTGCTTTGTTGAAGATTGGTTGACCATAGAGTTGAGAGTCCATTTCTGGCTTCTCTATTCTGTTCCATTGCTCTGTGTCTGTTTTTGTGCCAATACCATGCTGTCTTGATGATTATAGCTTTGTAATATAGCTTGAAGTCTGGTATTGTGATGCCACCAGCTTTGGTTTTCTTTTTCAACATTCCTCTGGCTATTCGGGTCTTTTCTGGTTCCATACAAATTTTAGGATTATTTGTTCCAGCTGTGAAAAATGTTGACGGTATTTTGGTGGGGATTGCATTGAATGTGTAGATTGCTCTGGGTAGCTCAGACATTTTAACATTTATTCTTCCAATCCATGAGCATGGGATGCTTTTCCTTTTCTGTGTGTCTTCCTCAATTTCTTTCATAAGTATTCTGCAGTTTTTAGAGTACAGATCTTTTACCTCTTTGGTAAGGTTTAGTGCTAGGTGTCTTATGGTTTTTGGTGCAATTGTAAATGGAATCGATTCCTTAATTTCTCTTTCTTCTGTCTCATTGTTAGTGTATAGAAATGCAACTTATTTCTGTGCATTGATTTTATATCCTACCACGTTGCTGAATTGCTGTATGAGTTCTAGTAATTTGGGGTGGAGTCCTTTGGGTTTTCCACATAAAGTATGTCATCTGCGAAGAGTGGGAGTTTGACTTCTTCTTTGCCAATTTGAATGCCTTTTATTTCTTTTTGTTGTCTGATTGCTGAGGCTAGGACTTCTAGTACTATGTTGAACAACAGTGGTGAGAGTGGGCATCCCTGTCGTGTTCCTGACCTTAGGGAAAAAGCTCTCAGTTTTTCCCCATTGAGAATGATATTCACTGTGGGCTTTTCATATATGGCTTTTATGATATTGAGGTATGTTCCCTCTATTCCTACACTGTGGAGAGTTTTAATCAAGAAGGGATGCTGTATTTTGTCAAATGCTTTTTCTTCATCAACTGAGAGGTTCATATGGTTCTTGTCCTTTCTTTTATTAATGGAATGTATCACACTGATTGACTTGTGAATGTTGAACCACCCTTGCAGGCCAGGAATAAATCCCACTTGGTCGTGGTGAATAATCCTTTTAATGTACTGTTGGATCCTATTGGTTAGTATCTTGGTGAGAATTTTGGCATCCATGTTCATCAGGAATATTGGTCTGTAATTCTCCTTTCTGATGGGGTCCTTGTCTAGTTTGGGGATCAAGGTAATGCTGGCCTCATAGAACGACTTTAGAAGTTTTCCTTCCATTTCTATTTTTGAAACAGCTTCAGAAGAATAGGTATTAGTTCTTCTTAAATGTTTGGAAGAATTCCCCTGGGAAGTCATCTAGCCCTGGACTCTTATTGGGAGATTTTGATTACTGTCAATTTCTTTGCTGGTTATGGGTCTGTTCCAGTTTTCTATTTCTTCCTGTTTCAGTTTTGGCAGTTTATAGGTTTCCAGGAATGCATCCATTTCTTCCAGATTGTCTAATTTGTTGGCATATAGTTGCTCAAAATATGTTCTTAAAATTGTATTTCCTTGGTGTTGGTTGTGATCTCTCCTCTTTCATTCATGATTTTATTAGTTTGGGTCCTTTCTCTTTTCTTTTTGATAAGTCTAGCTATGGGTTTATTGATCTTATTCTTTCAAAGGACCAGGGTCTAGTTTCGTTGATCTGTTCTACTGTTCTTTTGGTTTCTATTTCATTGATTTCTGCTCTAATCTTTATTATTTCTCTTCTCCTGCTTGGTTTAGGCTTATTTTGCTGTTCTTTCTCCAGCTCCTTTAGATGTAAGGTTAGCTTGTGTATTTGAGATTTTTCTAATTTTTTGAGAAAGGCTTGTATTGCTATGTACTTCCCTCTTAGTACCACCTTTTCTGTATCCCAAAGGTTTTGAACAGGTGTGTTCACTTTGTTTCCATGAATCTTTTAAATTCTTCTTTAATTTCCTGGTTGACCCATTCATTCATTAGTAGGATGCTCTTTAATCTCCAAGTGTTTGAGTTCCTTGCAAATTTCCTCTTGTGATTGAGCTCAATTTCAAAGCATTGTGGTCTGAGAATATGCAGGGAATAATCCCAATCTTTTGGTACCAATTGAGACCTGATTTGTGACCTAGGATGTGATCTATTCTGGAGAATGTTCCATGGGCACTAGAGAAGAATGTGTATTCTGTTGCTTTGGGATGGAATGTTCTGAATATGTCTGTGAAGTCCATCTTGTCCAGTGTGTCTTTCAAAGCCCTTGTTTCCTTGTTGATCTTCTGCTTAGATCTGTCCATTGCTATGAGTGGGGTGTTGAAGTCCCCTACTATTATTGTATTATCAATGTATTTCTTTAATTTTGTTATTAACTGGTTTACATAATTGGCTGCTCCCAAACTAGGAGCATAAATATTTAAAACTGTTAGAGCTTCTTGTTGGATAGACCCTTTAAGTATGATATAGTGTCCCTCTTCATTCTTTATTACAGTCTTTGGCTTAAAATCTAATTTGTCTAATATGATTGCTACCCCAGATTTCTTTTGATGTCCATTATCATGATAAATGGTTCTTCACCTCCTCACGTTCAATCTGGACGTGTCTTCAGGTCTAAAATGAGTCTCTTGTAGACAGCATATGGACAGGTCTTGCTTTTTTATCAATCTGATACCCTGTGTCTTTTTTATTGGAGCATTTAGCTCATTTACATTCAAAGTAACTATTGAAAGATATGAATTTAGTGCCATTGTATTACCTGTAAAGTCCCTGTTTCTGTAGATTGTCTCTGTTTCTTTCTGGTCTATGTTACTTTTGGGCTCTCTTTTCACTTACAAGATACCCTTTAATATTTCTTGCAGGGCTGGTTACGGATCACAAATTCTTTTAGTTTCTGTTTGTCCTGAAAGCTCTTTATCTCTCCTTCCATTCTGAATGACAGCCTTGCTGGATAAAGTATTCTTGGCTGCATGTTTTTCTCATTTAGTACCCTGAATATATCATACAGCCCTTTCTGGCCTGCCAGGTCTCTGTGGATAGGTCTTCTGCCAGTCTAATGTTTCTACCATTGCAGGTTAAGGATCTCTTATCTTGAAATGCTTTCAGAATTTTCTCTTTATCTCTGAAATTTGCAAGCTTCACTATTATACGTCAGGGTGTTGATCTATTTTTATTGATTTTGAGGGGGTTCTCTCTACCTCTTGGACTTGAATGCTTGTTTCCTTCCCCAGATGAGGGAAGTTCTCAGCTATGATTTGCTCAAATATACCTTCTGTCCCTCTCTCTCTTTCTTCTTCCTCTGGGACCCCAATAATTCTAATATTGTTTCACTTTATGGAATCACTGATTTCTCAAAGCCTCCCCTCACAGTCCATTAGTTGTTTTTCTCTCTTTTCCTCAACTTCCTTCCTTTCCATCATCTTGTCTTCTATGTCACTGAAACTCTCTTCTGCCTCATTTACCCTAGCTGTTAGAGCATCCATTTAAGACTGCATCTCAGTGAAAGCATTTTTAATTTCGGCCTGATTAGACTTTATTTCTGCACTAAGAGGTTTTCTAATGTCTTTTATGCTTTTTTAAAGCCCAGCTAGTAACTTTATAATTGTTATTCTGAATTCCAGCTCTGATATTTTACTTATATCCATATCGATTAGATCTGTGTCAGAGAGTATTACCTCTGGTTCTTTCTTTTGTTGTGAATTCCTCCTTCTAGTCATTTTTCCCAGAGAACAATGAATGAGAGAACACAATAAAAAATATCAACCACGACCCAAATGAAATACACACTAGAAAAATCTGAAGAGGTCAGAAACCAAAAGAGAAAAGAAAAAGAAAAAAAAGGGGGAAAGGAGAGAATATAATCTTCCAGGTGGACAAAATAGGGTGATCCACTTGGTCTCGGGTGTATTTTGGTCTCTTTGTTAGAAGACACTAAATCCCAAATTTTAAAGAAAGCAAAACTTATACATATACAAAAATAAAATGCAATCCAGTGAAAGGAAGCCAAAAATGAAGAATATATCTATAAAATGTAAATGTAAAAATGAAAGTTTAAAAAGGACTTAAAAACAAAGAGCTGATAAAATAAGAAACCAGTTGAAAAGGAAAAAAAGAAAAGGAAACTGAAACTGAAAAATAAAAGAATCATTAGAAAAAGAATCTCAAATTCTATATACTATTTTCCCCTAGGGCTGGAGTTTTGCAGTTCTGTGTGCTCCATAAACTTGGTATTCACCTGATGTTCCAGCTGGTCTTCTGGGGGAGGGGCCTGCTGTGCTGATTCTCAGGTATCTTCACCTGGGTGGAGTTGCACTGCCCCTTGCCAAGGGGCCGGGTTCCGTGTAAGCTGTTTTGGGTTGCTCTATGTGGCTTTTGTTCCCTAAAGGCTTTCCACGCCCCTTTAGAGGATGAAAATAAAAATGGTGGTGCCCTGCTCTCCAGCCCTGGAGCTGAAAGATCGCAGCCCCCTCTCTTCAGTAAACCCTCAGGTAAAAGCAGTCTTCACTTGTGTGCACCAAATTCTGCAGACTCCTGCGGTTCACACCCACGCCAATCCTCCTGGGGGAAGGAGGAGGGTTGCCACAGTTCTGCCCTTTGCAGGTTCCCCTCAGGGACAGTGGCTGCCTGATCATGCCATGGTTGGGGTTTATGGCAAACCAATTGAGAGCCCCCTCCTGGGCTCATTGACCATAGCTGGTTTCCCCGCTCCCAATCCTTGGGAACTCTGCTGGCTCAGGCACCCCCGTTCTTTCTGTGACCCCAGGGATCCTGAGGCCATACTGTCCCACCTAGGATTCTGCCCCACTTTACCACCTGAGCACCTTTCAGGCAGGGATGTCTTTCACTGGAGCAGATTTCTAAAGGTTCTGGTTTCACGCTCCGGGGCTATATCACTTTCTGGTAGCTGGCTTACGGAGGCTTCCCCCACCCCCCTCCATTTATCTTCCGATATATCCCCTCAGATTCACTTCTCTGCACCTCCTACCTTGCAAAAAGTGGTCGCTTTTCTAGTTGTAGAATTCCATCAGTTCTTTTTCTTACATCTCAGGTTGAATTCATAGGTGTTCAGAATGATTTGATAGATATCTAGCTAAAATTCAAGGGACCAGATGAAACGAGTCTCCTACTCTTCTGCCATCTTGTCTCTCATGTCTCTCACCTGTAAAATTAAGACATCTTCGGATAGCTCCCGTTTTTGGCAACAAAAGCTTAAAGATCAAATGAAATGTCTAATTTGCTTCAAAAACTTACTGTGGACATACTAGGAGTGGCTGGAGGCTGGATGAACTGTGGGAAGCATGCTCCTCAGGTGCATGTAGATACACCCCCAGAATTGCTCCTCTGAGCTGGGGGAGCACACTGAGAGTAAAGGACACTGTCTGTAGGCGCTTGGCCTTGAACTGTTTTGGAAGTTTCAATAGCAGAGTAAATGATTTTCCCATGGATCATTTGATTAGCTGTTGCTCACGATGACTTAAACCAAGAACAAGAGACTTCCCCCCATCTGTAAGTAGGTTATATAAGAGTTAGAGGCAACAGACTTCTTGAGGGCCCATTAAGTTTGAGCTGCAAATGCAGGCTTAAGTAATGCAAGGTGGAGATGAGACGCAGAAATCACAGAAACAAATATATGGCATACACAGACAACCAAGCCCTGCTACGGAAAGCTTTAATCACCACATGTAAAAACAATATAGTCACATATCAAAAATGGCTCCAAATGCTTTATCATCACCATAACAGTCTAGAAATGAAAGTTGCACTAATATAAAAACCTTCCTGTTCATAGCTGCAAGATTTATGAAACTGTTTCTTATAAACACATTTTTTTTACCCTGAGGCTGACATCAAAGTGAAAAACAAAAGTCACTATCAGCTAGAATTTGTTCAATGTAGGATTTTAAAAATCATTTATTCCTTAATCTGGAATAGGTTCTCTTTACTCTCCCCACGCATACTATGTGAGGACAAGAGGAAAAGGGGACAGATGGTTGCGTCTAGTCTATTATATATTAATTAGGATTTCTCAACCCAATCTATTGACCAAAACGAACAGAATTTTAATATCAATTAATGCTACACTATCACACTGAAAAATTTATCAAAATTAGTTCTTCCTTATAAAAGGGGAATTGGCAGTACATTGTCAGACAAGAACAACAGAATTCTTTCTTAAAATGTCTATTGCAATGCACTCTATTTACTACATCTGAGCCAACTAGTTAAGTTCAGAGTTCATACTGACTGCCTTGCAAACCTCAACTCTGGGCTCTTAGTCACACCTTGAGATAAGATCTGCACATCTACAAGAATAACTCCCAAATGCTACGACAGTTACTCCATTCCAGTGATGGGAAGGGCAACTGTGTTAAACTGAAAAAAAAGGACAGCCATGTTGAAGTGGGGATTACTGTAACATTTTTTTGGTGTGTAAATAACAAATAAATAGAATAAAAAGATTTTCAAAATCTGAGTTCCTAATGTCTCTAACATTGTTCTTTTGTGAATGAAACTAGAGCAATAGTTTGCTACCTCTCACAAGGTAGCCTGGTGACTTTTCTTCCAATTATTTCCATGGTAATCTCTGCATGTTTCTAAAATGGGCTCTTCCTAAATATTCACAGCATTTCATGTAAACGGATGTTAGTGTGCACATCTGAGTCAGGAAATCTTTGTTGCTGCTTGGTTTCAAAGTATTGTACATAACAGTTTCCTGTGTACTACTTACTTTCAACTGTACAGTTACATGTATTCTGGGCTACAATAAAAATCTGGGGATATGTGGCAGTTGAAGAATTACCATGCCTAATCTTGGTCCATACTCTTCATTTTTATGATTTCTAGATGCTTTCCCAGTGCAAATGATTGAAATGAACAACACAGGCATGGACATTTACTGGCTTTTCCCTGAAAAGTTACATTATGTTCACAATTTCTCAGTCAAAACTGAATGAGAATAATGGAGAGAGAATTCAGTATTAGACTGAGTTAGGAAAGGTTTTCTGGCAAGGCTTGACACAGGTGTTCTTTTTTTTTTTTTCCAGGTAGAATCATGGAAAATAAAGGTGGGGAAACACTCACCCATCATATGGCCAATTCCTCCATCTGACACCTGAACTCTTGTATGACATTTCTGCCAAGTTGTTGTCTAGCCTCTGCCAGAATACCTCTAGGGGCAGGAAGCTGTTCCAACATTACTTATTCTTCTTTAGAACAGAATAAAGCAAAAGAGATGGAATGGGTAAACAAACTTCCATTACACATGATTATGAACTAGATCTAACTTTTCAAGTGTTAGCAGATTGTCGATTTACTACTCAAAAGACTAAACCAGATTTGTTCCAAGCACCCCATGCCTTCTGCAGTGATTCAAAATGGGGAGATCCAACTTAAAAATGTGAGTATTATGAATCGCTGTTGAATAGCTGTGTGTGATAGGGAGCAGATAAGAAATCTTACAAGTAATTATTGTAGGGACCCCAAAGCAAAGGGAAAAATACATGTTTTGGAAAAGAAATAAATGTTTCACTCTGAAGAGGCAAGAAACAGTGTGTGCAGTGAGTCATGGTACGAGAATTCAAGAGCCCTGGTGGGTGAACTGCGGGCTAACTACAGTCTGCAGCATGTTGTCAATTCTGATGTAGGAGATAAGAGAATGACATGAGTGGTCTGAGACGGCAGCCTGCTCCCCTGGGCAATCAGAAACAGGACACTCTACCTTGACTCTCTCCTTTGGCTGGTCTGGCAGCTCTGTAAATAACATTTTTATTTCTGATTTCTCCCACGGTACTCAGCCTGCTTCGAGGTTTTAAATCCCCACTTTGGAAGACCAACAAGGCAACGTATTGATTGGTGGATAATAATGTCAGGATTCAATTTACAAAGGATCAATTCCTCTGAAGGGACACAGTTATGTCTGTTTTTTTATTTTTTGGACATATATATATGAATAAATATAACACACACGTAAACTTTACAGACTCTGAATGATCATGTTAATTGAGACTCAGCTGATTCAGTTTTGAGTGCTACCTTTCACCTCTGTGTTAAAATGGCAATGGTATCGTATCAATCTTTAACAAACAAGACTACGAGCAACGGACAAAAACAAAACAACAGAAAACCAACCTTAAAGTCAGTATGTCTTTTTATATGGAGGCCACTTTTTTTTCATATCTGTTTCAAAAGTATCAGATAGTGAACATTTAGTGGCTAGATGACAAGAGAGCAAATCTTCCTGCAAAAAAAGCACAGAACCTCCTTGACCACTGAGATTTGGAAGTGAAATCAATAAAAGTCTATTAAGTACTCAGGATAGATCTGGTTGGCATCAAACACCACAAAGATCTTTGGGTCCCAGGTATCATCCACACAGCTGTCATATAAATTCACATAGCTCCCATCTTTGGAAGGAGGTCGCATGTATTTGGAGTCTCCATTTATGTAATCTCCAATTAGCACTCGAGCGAGAAACATAGATTTATACGTTCTAAACAGATGCCGCTGTTGCAAGCTGACGCCATGAATTTGGAATGTGTTTCCATGTTTTATGTCGTCTTTGCAGAAGCGACTGGAGTAAATAGCATCTCTAGCAAAATAGGTTCCTTAAACAAAAAGGACCAAAAAGAAAAAAAAAAAAAGCCAGGATTACTCTGAAGAACATATGAAACACAAGCAAAACACTCTAATTGTTAGGGGAACGGGCACATGGAACCGTCTGAGGAAAACAGATGTGGTATTTCCTCGTCTGTAGATCTCTGAGAGAGAACAGAAAGCCATGGATAAATTGTTTATACAACCCATTCCCTACCACCAACACCCTTCCCTATTCCCGCCAAAATGAAGTGACCAGACTTCCGTTTCCGAAAGGAAGCTTACAAAGAAATCCAGTATGTATGATATAGACAAACTGTTTCTGTGACCAAACGTGTGGTGAGAGCGGAGTTCTAGCTGCATGGGCCTCGCTCTCATTTCTATTTGCTTCCACTGCCTTTCCCAGCCCGCAGCCCTTGTCCAGCACTGACCGGCCCTCTGCTGAGCACAGTGAGAACGACTGGTCTGCAGAGATTACTTCAAAACCCAAGAAACCACATTTCTCTGCTACAGGGTAACAAGTCAAGAATATTTCTGGAGATAATAGAATCCCATAACCACGAAAAGACTTCCGAACAGTGCATGCTGTTCATATCTGAGCACTCTGGAAGAACAACTTCACACTGGTTCATCACCAAAATCTGAAAACTCAATAAAGCATCAACTCTTCCAAAAGGGTAGGCCTAGGAGACTGACATCGTGAAGGCAATATTTACTCTGAAAAATTTGGGAAATGAATCGCAAAGTCTCAGATTACGCCATACTGACAGGATTTATGGCAACACTTTTCCCATCCCCGTACAGTTAAATCAATGGGATGGCCTTTTCAGTAATTATCTTAAAATTAATCTACTTTATGAAAATGCAGCATGTCTTGATCCTAAGTAGTAGCCAGCTCTCTTGCTGGAGATAAGGTATGAAATAAAGACCAGAAAAATAAACACCCATTCCTATCTTTTCTCCTCATCTCTCACCATAATTTCCTTGAATAATGGGCATAAAATGGAGAGCTTGGACTTTCACAACATTAGAAAAAAGATGAGGAATTCCCCCATATTCCTTATTGCTCATTAATATTCTTACCTACCATTTTCTAAAAATCAAAACAAAAAATACTAGTACCTAGACCTGTCCCCAATGTAATCAATTCATTTTATAGTTCTCTGTATATTTGACATAAAACAGTTTATTATAGAGGCTTATCCATGGAAGGGATTTATACATGGAAATTAAATGTAACGTAAAAATCAGCTAATCTGGACATGATGTCCCATCTGAAAGACTGGGACTTGGGGAGCTATTTAATCTGGTAGAGGTGTCAAAGTCTTACTTCTACCCTGTACCTGCAGGAAGTGGCTTTTCTGTGGCTCAGAAATTCTGAGGGTGTGTGAGGAACCTAGTACAGCAACTTTTAACTTAATGACTACCATACTCCTGAATTATAAAACAATTATCTCTAGAGAGGAGATTCTCTCCTAGGACTCAAACGAGACCTGGAACGCTGATAATTACCTTTCCCAAAGACAGCACCATGTATACCATTTATTCTCCAGTCAAAGTTATGAATGCAAATTGCTTCCACAAATTCACTGCTGGTACCATGAAAGAGCATTTGTTCATTAATCTGAGGCACGCCTCTTTTTTTCTTGAGCTGAGCCTTTTTCCTAAAAACACAATATATATAGGCACAAAACACACAGAGAAACAGACCATAAGTGGCATTTATTAGTTTTCAGGAGAGCCAAGTTCAATAGAAAGGGTGAAACAGAAAATACTTCTTTAACTTAATCCACTTTAAGTGGACAAAGCAGTTCTGGAAAAGAAATAATCTCAAAGGGCCTTGGACACATAATCATCTTACCAAAAATTATTAGTTACAACTGAGACTTAAGGCTGAAAATTATACCAAAAACTAGAGCTATCCCAGATGATGCCCCATCATAGTAAAGGTAACTGATTGCCTAAACCAGCCAAGCTTTACAGATGCCTAAAAATGACACTAAAAACAAATAATATAAAGTTCACAGAGTCTTTATTTTTTTCTTTCTTTTTAAATTCAATTCAATTTAAATTCAATTTTAAATTCAATTCAACAAGGTATAGTACATCATTAGTTTTGATATAATGTTCAATGATTCATTAGTTGAGTATAGTATCCGGTGCTCATCATATCACGTGCCCTCTTCAATGTCCATCACCCCGTTACCCCATCCCCCCACCCACCTTCGTTTCGGCAACCCTCAGTTTGTTTCTCGGAGTCGAGAGTCTCATGGTTTGTCTCCCTCTCTGATTTCTTCCCATTCCATTTTAAATAGTGAACTCCTTCAGCAGGGACCATGCCCTAATCTTTTTATCTCCAGAGACTAGAAAATGTTGGTTGGATTGAACTGAATTTTGTATCTTAGAGCTGAGAGGAACATTAAGCCATCCACTTCAACCCACTTCCCAATGGACAAATCTCTTCTTACCCATAAAAAGATATTCAATGCAGGACTGATTGTAACCATAAAAAACAAACTGAAAACAGCTTCATAGAGCATAGATTCCTGGCCTTTTTCTTTCCTGGACAGCCTTTAGTTGCCAAGAATCTGCTGGGTATTTTCTAATTTATAAATGTCAGTAAGAAACAGAAGCAGGGTCCAGATATCATCAGCCAGCACTGGCTCTCCTGGTTCACCAGTGGCATCACTTCATAGTCACTCCAAACCCCCAAGACTTTCTCAAACCAGATCGCCTTTTGATTGATTTCAATTACGCTTTATCTTGAAAAGCAATTTTTAAAAAAATGCATCATTTATAAACAACATGCAGCTTAGTGACTTTGCGGGGGAATGACAGTTGCATTTAAATGAGAGAAATGGAAATGGTCTTTCCCAAGAGTCATTTGGCAATATGTATCAAAACTTAAATGTGGGGCGCTTGGGTGGTTCAGTCATTAAGCGTCTGCCTTCGGCTCAGGTCGTGATCCCATGGTCCTGGGATCGAGCCCCGCATCGGACTCCCTGCTCAGCAGGAAGCCTGCTTCTCCCTCTCCCACTCCTCCTGCTTGTATTCTCTCTCTCGCTGTCTCTCTCTCTCTGTGTCAAATAAATAAATAAAATCTTAAAAAAAAAAAAAACTTAAACGTATATGGTTTGGTCTACTGGTGAGTCTTTTAGACCATTAAGCATGAGGTTAGAGGGGTATGCATTAAACAAATAAGTCCTTCAGAAAAATCCAACATGTTTTCACTGAGAACAAATTTGCTGACTTTCTTTTTTAGACCTTTAGGTACAGTCTGATTATTTATTTATTTATTTATTTACTTACTTACAATGCACATATGTTGCTGTTCCAAGCAAGGGAAAAAATCTTTAAAAAAAAAAAAAAGATAATCAAATTTGTTTTGACTGTTTCAATCTTCCAAGGTCTTTCTGACTCGTGATTCATTCACACGACAAATAAGCTACCCCGTCTCATGTTAAATCTTTCACAAGTGTGATAAGCAAGCCCTCTACATTTTCATCCAAATTCCTGATAAAAATGTTGAAGGGCTCAAGAAGAAAGCAAGCATGCCACTCAAGTTACTCTCAGCCCAAGACTTTTAACTGGGTATTAATTTTTCTCTTTGAACTATCACCCGGCATACATTTCTCTATCTTGCCTCCAATACGGGAACGTCTTATTAACCACTTTGTAAAAACCAAGTTATGTTGTTCAGGGCCTTGGTCATCTACCACTATGGTAATCCTCTTATTTAGCTGGGCATTAGTGAATCCATACTGTTTTTTCCTAAGTAAATATTTTAGTATACATCTTCCTAAGGTCAAGCTTCACTGTCTGTAATGACTAGAATCCACTCTAAAATCAGGATATTCACTCATTATACTTCTCAGGCACAGATTAGAATAATTCCTGGTTTGAAAATTCACCTGAGTCTCTCGTAGTGTGGGCATTGAAAATCTGCTCAGTCACTGGATTGGACGTGCCATATATCCCAGTTGAAAGCAGAGTGGGATGGGATAGGCAAAGCTTTGCATCCCCACAGCATAGTTTATTCTAGTGCCAACTACTAAGGCACCCATGAAATGTGGAGATTCGTGACATACTGTGACCTTGGGGTTCCGGAAAGGCTAACATTGAGCTCCAAGACCTCTTGGGCTGCAGCTAAAACCTTTGCGGAACATCACAGGATTCAAACTACACTAAGTTCTTCATGACCCTGCCCACCTTGGTCCAACCCCAGTCATTTCTGAACTTCCGGAAAATACTCCAGCACCCTCTTCTCAAAGATATCTTAAAATTACCCACACTCTCAGGGACTAGGGTGCCAAAAGGACTAAGTTGCCACTTGCGCTAAATTGCAACAGGAATAACTTTGTGCTCCAGATTGAAGTAAATTCGCCTAGGTTCAGACCAGTGGTTCTCCATCCTGGCTGAGCATCAGAATCACTAGCAGAACTTGTTAAAGATAAAGATATCAGAACACAGAAGTTCTGATTCAGTAGACCTGGGATGGGTGATAGACATCACCATGAGTTAAAGAGCTCTGCAGGTGATTCTGATAGGTGGCTAGGGCTGAGAACCTCTCATCTAAATCCACATTCTTTATGAGATAGCAGCTTTCCCTGCTCTTAATTCCTTGCTGTCACATCCTTCCCAACCCTGGGTCAATCCAACCACCTCCACTCTCTGCTATTAAATATGGACTGCTGAAATAAATCACACAACATCCCCAGGTTTCCATTCCAAATTCACATATTCCGACATCAGCTAAGCCCTCAACACTGATGGAAATCCTGTGGTTCCCAAGTTAGTTCTTTCTCTCCCGTTTTCCACATTGGCCATTCCAAATCTCCTCTTCCCCCCTCTCTCCCTCTTATCTACACCTCCCTAACCCTTCATTCTCTGTAGGCTGCTTCACTTCTTATTTCACCAAAGACACGTAAAGTTTCAGGAAGGAACTCCATAACATAACCCCTCTCTTCATCCCCTACCTCTACTTATCTATAAACATGACTGGACCACCCTCGTCCAGCTCCTTCTGTATATTGTAATATAGTCTCTGAATTCCACCCTATCACACCTCTTTAGAAGTCTTAATGCATCAATTACCCTTTCCCTTTCTCTTATACTTTAAACTTCTTCCCTGGGTTCTTTCCTACTACAATTTACACATGCTCAGGTCCCTCCCATCTTCAAATTCAAAAATCGTAACAAAACAAAACAAAGACACCCTTCCCAACTTCACAGTACCCATCTTCTCATATTCCCTCTTCCTCTTTACTGCCAAGCTTCTCGGAAGAGCTGCCAATATTTGCTGTATATACAATATAGCATCCACCAACATGGCTCTCATCAAGGGTACCAATGACCTTCTTGTCACAAAATCCAAAGGACATATTCAATATCATCTTACTTGGCATCTCTTTTGTATGTGACCCTGAGGATCAGGGTCACATACAACACCTACATGCTTAAACCACTTTCTTCCTTTGGTTTCTGTGACTCTATCTTCTTTTGGTTTTCTTCCACTTTCTGTGGTTGTTACTTCTCAGTTTCTGCCTTGAGTTTTCCTCTATCCATCCCTTGCAGAGTTTAGTCCTTCATCCTCTTCTTAATCTACCTACACTCCCTGGTCATCTTATCAACTCTATGGCTTCTACTACCTCACATTTTCTGATAATTCCAAAATCTTTATTTCTAATCTACACCACTCTCCTGAGTTATGACACATGTATCAACTACTACTTCCTCCCCATCCTCCCTAAGGACAAAGACCAAAATCTGTTCCTGCCCATATTCCCTTAGTCAACCGAAATGAGTCAGAAACTCTGGAGGTATCTTTCCCATCTCCTTACTCACACCACTGAACACATTAAATCATCATTCTACATCCTTAATATCTCAAACCCATCCTCTTCATTCCGACACAGCGGATGCCACTTTGGTTCAGGCCACCCAATATGTCTCAGTTTAATTACTGAAGCAATCTCCTAAATTGGTCTCCCTGCTTCTAACTGTGACTCCTTTAAACCAATGTTTCTCAGCTTTCACACTACTGCCATTTTGGGCTAACTAACTGTTGTGAGAGGTTGTCTTATACACTGTAGGATGTTTTGCACCCCTGACTTCTACCCAGTTGATACCAGTCTTAATTCCCCATCCAACCACATGACAATTAAAAATCATCTCCAGTCATTGCCAAATATCCCCTGGTGGGCAAAATCACTCCTAATCAAGAACCACTGCTTTAAACACTTTCTCCACAGTATAGCCTGATAACATTATTTTTCTAAAATGCAAATTGGATTGATCATTCTCTTGCTTCAAGTTCTATAACGGATTGCCACTGTCCAGGAAAAAAATCCAAACCCCTCAGTTTGATTTATAAGGCCCTGCATGGCCTGCTCCTGCTAACTCTCTGACCTCAACTCCAAATCAATCCAACTCCAGTAAGGCTACGGAAGAAAATCACACAACCATTCCACAGTGGCTCTACTACAAACTCCTGCATGCTCAACCTCTTGACTACCTTTCTACCTTCTCTAATCATTCATCTTAATTTTTATTTTCATTCTGTGGTGCAATTGCCTGGCTCCTTGCTCAAGTTACGGTCCTGTACACTGTTATGTCCCAAGTGTGCCTAGAATAGTGCCTGTCACAAAGTAGGTGCTATAACATATTTCTTGGAAGAAGGGAGCGAAGTAAAAAGGGCCTGGGCAAAATGGAAACGGATGCCTGAGGGACTCCTATGGGCCTCACCACCTGTACAGTGAGTCAGAGGTTACATGATGATAAGAATGACTAGGATTGTAGTTCTTCATGGAGATGTCAAAATAACAGGCTGTCCTTACAATGAGACCCCGTATTTTCTACTGTCAGAGCAGGTGACAGGTTCATTTGCCATCACAGATTTCTATAGGCCAACAGTACATAAAATAATGAAGGGCATCGACAGAGTGAAACCGTTTCCAGTAAAATCCTTTGTATACAATGTTTAAACATGGGGATTCACTGGTACATTTTACCACTAGAATTGAACAGAGACAACTCAAATTATGAGTTCAAATATAATTGAACTCCACTTCAGAGGCCTGATTAAGAATAATGAATTAAGTTTTCATCAGATCATTTTAGAAAATCTCACTTTATTCACTGAGAGAATAAAGTTAAAGTGGAGAGAAGCCTCAATCCTTCTCAACAAAAGAATCATCTAACAAGAACCCAATAAAACCTAAATTCAGTTAAACTCATTATTGTCCGAAATAAAAGTTGGCTTGGTTCAAAGGCTCAAGACTGAAAAGAATACACGCTGAAAACCCCTTATCTTACCATAAACTATTATGGCAATAAAACCAGGAATATACTCAGGCCGTATTACTACTTATCAGAAGCATGAAAGAATTCCATGTATCATTACCAAACAAAAGTCAGCCCAATTTTCAAGTATATGGGAATGAAATGAGTTACGGCTTTGAAATACTTCAGCAACAACAATAATAGAAATAAAGGAGATAGATTATGTGAGGTAAATCCTAACATGTTAAGTCAGGATGATGGATACATTATATTCTGCATTATATTCATTATATTAGACTCTATTATTTGAAAATTTCCTGAGTAAATATTAAAAGTCTGCTCATATTTAGGGGCGCCTGGGTAGCTCAGACAGGTAAGCAACCTACTGGTGATTTAGGCTCAGGTCATGATCTCATGGGTCCTGAGATAGAGCCCCACACAGGGCTCCGTGTTCAGCCAGGAATCTGCTTGAAGATTCCCTCCCTCTGCCTCTCCCCCCGCACTTGTGGGTACATGTGGGCATGTGCTCTCTCTGTCTCTAAGATAAACACATTTTTTTAAAAAGGTCTGCTATATTTTAAAAAATTAGAAATTACATATCATCATAAATTTAATAAAAATGCTTCAGGAAGGGGTGCCTGGGTGGCTCAGTCGTTAAGCATCTGCCTTTGGCTCAGGTCATGATCCCAGGGTCCTGGGATCGAGTCCCACATGGGGCTCCCTGCTCGGCAGGAAGCCTGCTTCTCCCTCTCCCATTCCCCCTGCTTGTGTTCCCTCTCTCGCTATCTCTCTGTCAAATTAAAAAAAAAAAAAAAATGCTTCAGGAAGCCATTATTTTAAGTAATATTTGTTATTAAAAAATACAGCACAACAGGTTAATTTGGACAATACCTTTATGTTTTCTACAACGAGCTTTATTTTTAGGGTAAATGCATACTGAACAATCCAACAGGTGGTTTCCAACCTAAATTAAGTAGTCAACTGAGATTTTAAATCTACTACATACACTGGGCCTAGCAGGACATTTTGAAGGTGTGTTTTACAATGTCCTCCAAAACAAAACAAGCAAATGACTATAGGCAAGAGGGTGGAATCGCTTTTTCAGAAAATTCAACAATTGTTTCCAGAGACTTCTAATTCCACATACAGGGCTGTGCCACCAAAGCCATGCCAACAAAACTAAACAGTTTCCTCACCTCCCTCCTATTGCTGACTGCAGCCACGACGCATAGCTCTGCACCTCAAAAGCCACAGTGCTATAAGCCAGGCTGGCCTTGACCTCCGGGGTGGCTGTCACCAGCCCTCACCCCGGCCCCTGGAGAGCGCGCTGAGGTGGAGCACTGGGACACACAATTGGCACGACAAAGCCAAAAGACAACATGGGCCAACATCCGCGCCTCGCCTTCTCCAAGACTCCAGAAGCCTTAGGGGCTACAGAGAGGGCTCGGGTCAGACGCCGCCTCACCTGCAGAAGAACTCCCACAAGTCCAGGTTTTGAATTCTCTGAATTCTTTTAATTCTGCCACGGTCCATTGTTTTCCCAAAGAGACTGGCAACTTCGTTATACTCGTGTGTTTGACTGTGCAAAGGAACCAGCTGGAAAAAGAAGTTTGCATAGTTTTACTGGGGCCCCTTCCGGTCCTGCACAGGGCGGCTGGCCAGCCCCGCTCTTACCTGATAGGGCACGTCGGTGTTCACATTCTCCCAGTGTGGGGGCATAGGGATGGACTCATTTTCACAGATGTAACTTTAAATGGCAAAAGACACAACACAGTATTAGAAACTGATGATAATTATGGTCGATGATTTAATTTCGCCTTTTCTCCAAAGCTGAATTTTCAGGTTTGGGATATTGTGACAAACGCAATTAACTGAAGCCCTTGGTTCTTTATTTTCAAATATTTACTCAGTGTCTCCTGTGTGCTGCTTTTTGGGTGCTGAACTGACAACTCTGATGGAAAACAGCCAATCTCGAATAACATCAACATTTAAAAAACGGTTGTTTAATTCCATCATGTCTTTCTTAAAATTGCCAGATATTTTTTAAAATGTAAGGAGGATTTTAGATAAAGGAAAGGAATTTCCAAGAAGAAAACCAAATTCTTGATAAAAAAATAACCTTAACAGATACTGCCTATCAAATAAAATCCAAACCCCTCAGCCGTATGTTCAATATCCTTCAAGCTCTAACTCAAACCTAAACTTTTCTCTGTTTACTGCCCTCTATTCCCCATACACAGCCTGTGGTAATTCACCTAGTGTGGCCAATGAAACTTTGAAAACCTGCCCACTGCGCTGAAGCCACTGGATGTGAACACAGAAAAAGATAGTAAGTTGGAGGGCTTCATGGCAAAAGGCTGAGAAGGACATACTAAAAAAATTTTAATTATAATTATATCTCTCCTCTGGAGACTGGAGGTTACTGGAAGAAAGCCATAAATTTCCAGCTTGTCTATAGCTTCTTTCTTAAAGCTCATTCTAATTTTTGACAAGATCCTACAATCATGTTTTAAAAATGGATACGTATAAAGGAGCAGACAGTGAACAGTTTCCTTCCCTCTCCAATTGTCACCTCTTGCCCCAACTCCAAATAATCAGGTTTTTTTAGACTTTGGGGTAGTTTTCCAGACATTTTTAGGTTAACACAAACCAAATTTTTACAAAAATGGTAGTAAAAATATGTTTTTTGCAGCCATTTTTTCCCACTTATTATGTTCTTAGAGATCTTCCTGTATCAGTACAGAAAGTACTGATACAGAAGTACCTACCACAGAATCTGGCCCATGGTAAACACTCCATACATAGTGGTTAAATGAATGAGTGCAATCTATTTTGTAGGTGCATAGAATTCTATGGTGCAGATATACCATCATTTATGTAACAGGTCCCTTGTTGATGATATTTAGCTTGTTTTTGACTTCTTGCTACTGTTAAGAATGCTGCAAAACAACAAGGTTATCCTTTTGCCATTTTACACACCCACTAGTGTATCTGTAGGATAACATCCTTGAAATGGGATTCCTGGGTCAAAGAACATATTTATTTCGGATTCTGACAGATACTGGCTAAATGCCCTCCTTGAAGGTTGTACTCATTAATATTACCACCAGAAATGGAGAGAATTCCTATTTCCCAACAATCTCTCCAAATAGCATGTTATCAAACTTTTGAATTTTTTGACAGTTTGATAGTAAAAAATAGTCTGGTATAATTTGTAGTTCTCTTATTTTGAGTGAGGTCATATGTTTCTAATGGGTTGTGGGTCTTCTACTTAGAAATTCAGATATTACAGAGATGAGCCCTTGATGATAAGAACTCCAGTACTTTTCCCAGTGTTTGTTTTTGTTTTTGTTTTGTTCTTATTGTTTTTCTTGTTTGTTTTGGAGGGGGTTTGTTTTGTTTTGTTAAAACAAAAGATACTTCAGGCAAATTTTTACTTTTACCCTCAGAAAACTTTTTTTTTTCCTTCTAATTTTTAAGGAGCCCATAGCCTTAATTAATTGTAATTTCCTTGCCGGTAGGAAAATGTTAACCATTCACCTTGGATTTAATACATGCTCGATATATCCCTGCCATAAATAAATACATCCCTGTCAGTGCTCACTTACTGGCCTCACTCTACTGTAGCCTACCTAACTGTTCCTCCTCTGTCATTATCTTGCTTCTTGTCTTCCATTCTGATTATTCTCTCCCTCTCCCGTCTTTGTTCTATGGTCTCTATAGTCTGTGACAGAACAAAGTGCTTGACCCCACAGTGTGCTGCTTCTCCCCACCAAAGTACACCAGCAATAATAACATACAATTACATTCACATTTTCCATGATTATATCTCATTTTTCTCCCAGACTGCACACTCTTGCAAGCTAAGTAATTTCTTTATTATATTCCTTGTACTCAAGAATAAAGATATGACAATGAATCATGGAACACTACATCTAAAACTAATGATGTAATGTATGGTGATTAACATAACAATAAAAATTTTTTTTAAAAAAGAATAAAGATATGATGTGGCTGGTAAGAAAATAATATATTCTCCATATTCCATAGAAGTACTAGGGCATTGATTATATAAGGACTTGAATAACTTTTAAATCATGATGCTAAAATATAAGCCAAAGGTCTTAAGAAACAAACTGATAGAATCTTAAAGCATAAAAAAAAATACCTAATAACAAAGGTGACATTAGGTCAATAAAGATCAATAAAGAAAAAAAAAAAGAAACTTAAAGAATTTCTTTCCTTACTCTAATTCTTTCAAAGTATCTCTTTGGGAAGAGCAAAGATACTAATTCACATGCTGGCACTTTTTTTTTTCCCTGATTAATTCTACATTCTTTCAACAGCAGGAATTTCAATATTCACTTGGACAGAAAGTGGGAGGTATGCTCTAAGATTTTCCCCTTCACTTTCATTCACATGAATAACAAATACGTATTCTCTTTTGGCATCTATGTCTCTCTTTTCAGACTGTGTATAGCCAGAGAGAGCAAAAAGGAAAATGTGCAACCAGCCCCAGGAGCAGAGAACCATGCTGCTGGCCCACTGCTCTCCCAGCTCCTGTAGGCCTCCTTTGGTCATGACAGATTTGAAATCACTCCCAGGAGTCACCCAATGGGGATAAGTGGAGGCAGAGACAAAGTGGGCAACTGCCTAGGATTTATGGCTCACATAACTGGATGGTTCTGTCAGAGTATTTGCAAGTTAATTCAAACCTACTTCAGTAAGCTATTTCAAGGACTTATAGCAGAGACCATGTGGCATTCTGTAACTGTCCTAAAGAAACGAAAACATGTAAACATATAAGGGGAAATGAAGAGGACAACAGGAAAGGAAACAAGGGCAGAAAATAATCATACTGTTAGTTCATCAACTATTGTGAAATTCAGTAACAAAAAGAGCAATATCAAGATCATGAAATAACCTACCCAAACATTTTCAGTCTACTTGTTCCTCTGTCAAATACTAAGAGGAGAAAAGCCCACTCTTTCTACCCCTAGTCTCTTTACAATACCTGAAAGCACTGATAGAAAAGGGGGCTCTTTTTATTAAGCGCTGTTTTCCAGTGATGAGATTCATTTGCTTCATTTCTGTATACAAAGACAAAGATATTAGGTAAGTGGTAGGAACATACTGTGCTGTAAATAGTCACGGAGATGCATAGCCACAGCACCTTGGGGTTTAGGGAAGAGCTGGTAAGCACAGTCTATCAAGGACACCTCACCATACATCTACTTATCACAACATAAAAGTGCTATTCAGGAGGCGCGTGGGGGGCCCAGTCCGTTAAGCGTCTGCCTTTGGCTCAGGTCATGATCCCAGGCTCCTGGGATGAAGCCCCACATTGGGCTCCCTGCTCAGCGGGGAGCCTGCTTCTCCCTCTCCCTCTGCCCCTCCCCCCTGCTTGTGCTCTCTCTCTCTCTCTCTCTCTCTCTCTGTCAAATGAATAAAATCTTTTTTTTTTTTTATTTATTTATTTATTTATTTATTTTTTTTTAAAGATTTTATTTATTTATATGACAGAGAGAGACAGCGAGAACAGGAACACAAGCAGGGGGAGTGGGAGAGGGAGAAGCAGGCTTCCCGCTGAGCAGGGAGAGCCCGATGTGGGACTCGATCCCAGGACCCTGGGATCATGACCTGAGCCGAAGGCAGACGCTTAACGACTGAGCCACCCAGGCGCCCCGAATAAAATCTTTTTTTTAAAAAAAAGTGCTATTCAGGGAGCCGGGCTTCATCCCGTGACCTACGCTCACGCACAGGATGCTCGGCTCATGCGGCTCAGTAGGCAGGGCCCGCTCCTTTCTGTATCCCACTGACAGTAAATGGATGCTACAGTGCAAGAGTTCCAAATTTAGGAAAATGAAGAGTACTCGGAAGAGAATGAAATTATAGAACCAAAGCTTCCGGTTGGTTTATTAAGTGGAAAGTGTACTTACTTTGATTTCTCCAAAAATGTTGTGAATGGTAAAAAGATATGTTACTGCTGTAAAACTTAACACAATTCACAGAATATCAAAAATTGGTACATTTCTCGCCTTCTCTCTAAATTGTATTCCCAAGCCAAAAAACAGAAAACCCACTAGACGCAATACATCCTTTTTAAAGAGATTCTAGTGATAAAAGACCAGTTAACTCTCTCTTTTGTGCCTTAACTGTGGCGATATCACCAGGTCCATTTCTTCGTGCCCACAAAGTTAAGTACTGAGGCTTAATGTGAGATGCCAGTCCCTCTATCTTATCTAACTGGCATCATCCCATTCCAAAATAAAGAGGTCCGCCCATCCAGGCAAATGCTATAAGGTATAAAGTATGTTCTGCCCTTTCTGGATTCTCTTAGGTTCTGCCCACAATGGCATCACTGCTGTGCAGGAAAAAGCAAGATCATCTCAGCAAAGGGAGCAAAGCCTGTGGTGTCTTCTTATAGCAGCTCATTCTGAGTTTCTGTTTCACCATTTTTATCAAGAGCACCTGAGTTGGCTTGTGGCCGAATAGTTGGGGCTAATGTTGCAAATAGTACATGCAAAATGCTGATATCATTATATAGAGGGCTGGTGAAATGGAATCATTATATGTGACTCCTATTCTTTGATAAAGACATTTTTTAAATAAACTGCATTGTTTGAAACTTCTCCCCAAAATACAGTTTAATAGAAAATATTCTTTCAGAAACATGTGGCTTGCTGAATTATCTACCAAATGCTTTGATAAACTTCATCCTTGTCATGAAGCCTGGTGTGTGTGCGTATCATGATGTCTCAGTATTACTTCAAATAGGCCCTTGTACACAAGATGTCTAAAAGGTCTAGTGGACGCCTTCTGTCTAAACTGAGGCCAAAAGACAAATAATCGGGGTCCCTTAAAGGCAGTCTATTTGCCTAATGTCATTAAAAAAGTGATGGCTAGTCAGGAATAATAAGAATGTATTATAACATAATATAACTCTTGCTAATAAAACAAGCTTTGGGGGAAACAATAATCATTAGAGATTTGGTTGCATCAACCTCTTACTGGACAACCGCCCCCACCCCCTTCACCATTTCTGGGCCTTAGCTCATTCAAGGGGATTTCCTAAGGTTTCACCACCTTACTGCACCACAACACACTCCTAACTCTGTCATAAAGATACTACTCATAGAATTGGGATGCACCAGCTAGAGGACTGCGCCATGTAGCAGCCAAAATATGCTTTATTAAGAAAACCTCCCTGGGGGCCTGGCTGGTTCAGTCAGTAGAGCACATGACTCTTGACCTCGGGGTTATAAGTTCGAGCCCCATGGTGGGTGTACAGATTACTTTAAAAATAAAATCTTAAAAAAAAAATATCCTCCCCATCCAGGTCTTGTATGTCTCTGTGCAATAAACAGCTGAAACTAACCGCTTGAAACTGAAAGAGCTGAATCCGACAGGTTTTTCATGGGATACCTAAAACCATGCCCATATATCACAGATGATCCAAAGTGGGGCCAATTTCCAGATTAGCTGGCTATTCTGTGAAAGAGCCAATGAAATCAGAAAGTGGTAGAAGGCAATGTCCATGAAAGAAATAGTTTTCCGGCAAAGACACACTAGGAGATGGGTCGTTCAGCTGAACTTTGGTCTTCAAACTATCACCAGCTAGTGTTACTAACCCCTCAGATTGATCCTTAAAATAAAGATTCCCAGCTATTTCAAAAGGCTGAAGGGATGATGAAGAAAACAGCTAAAAAGTGTTTTGTGTTCCTTAGAAGAGAAGTGTTACATAAGCTCAAAATATACGACAATCTCCATATACATTAGTTATCGATAAACATACAAATACTCCTTTATAAAAGGTAATGTTGCTCAAGACTTTAAATCTTGAATTTTTATAGAGAGATTTCTGTGTGTGACAAAAAGGATTTACTTCACTGTTTACAAATACATCAACTAATTCTCATCTACAGAACTGTAGATTTTATCATATCGATAGACTAAAAACACACAACTATTAGGGAAAAAAAAACATACCTGCAAAGTCTATCTTGTAGCTGAATTTGGAAGTAGTAAAAGAAATGGAGCCACAAGGGTTTGTTTTGAAGCTTTTTTCGATATCTTCACTGCTAACTGAACACTGAATGTTGGTATCCGGCTTTAAGACAAACCAGAAAGTTTCATTTACCAGCTGTTCACATCAATGGCTTGGCCACAGAGGCGGTTCTGTGGTCACAAGAGACAGAGAATGGAGCAACACGGGGAACTCACTGATCGCCTGTTCTAGTTCCCACACACAGGGAGAATCACAGCTGAGCCAGCGTGTGCAAAACAGTGTCAGGATTTCCAGCAAAGAAACTCCAGCAACTGCTTAGAACCCCTCTTTCCAAACTGTTATGATTACAATAATTATTACAATAATAATAATTATTATTATTATATTGCATATTACAATTATTATTATTATTATTACAATAATTACAACTTCCTCACTGGCTCAAATCTCCTTTAAGCAGGCTTGGAAGTAAAAGAAGACCACAAGCTTTTGAGTATGGGTTCAAATTCCCTAGCTGTATGTGACTCTGGACGGATTCTGTGACCTTTTCTGAGTTTCAGTCTCTTGGCCTGTGAGAGTACTAGCATCTGCTTCAGAGATGCTGGGAGGCTAAAGGAGAAAAGATACCTGTGGCATCTATCATAATACCTGGCGGACACAAGGTGCTTAATATGGGCTTGCTCTCTTCCCCTTCTCCTTGTCCACCAAACGGAACTTGGAGTTGCTCAGCCGTACTGACACTACACAACTCAGTCACACTCGCCCTCTGTACGCACAGTGAATGCGCACTGCTTCTTCTAAATACATGATTGAGAAAACCTGGGGAAATGAAAAGGAAAAGGACTAGAAGGATTCCTCTTTTTTCTTTTAGTCAAGCTATCTGATGTCCTTAAGGTTGAATGTCCTTCAGGGTCTGCACTGGCACGCAGTGCGGCAGCAAGGTGGCGCTAAGTGGACCTGAGGCCCTTCTGGTATGTTCTGGAAAGGAAGTACCTGAAACATGTGCCACTTCCCACACTCCGCCAGGTAAAACCAGCCCCATTGGGTGTCCGACGTGTCCATCTCATCCATTTCACTACCCGTCCTCTTGGGTAAGAATTCTTCCGCTTTGTGAAACATCTCCTGAGAAGCCAGAAAGAGGCAGAAGAAGAAATACTTTTCTTAATAACCAATGTACTTTTTCTACATCATTTTTCTTACTACAAAGAACTATATTCCAAGTGTCCTTCCCACAGTGACCCTTTAAAAATACCATTCTCTCTGGCATATTGACTCTAAAGATAAACATTTAACAAAGGCTGAATATCACTGCTTAACAGATAAGACAAATAATTATACACTCAGGTAAGACATATCAATGCCCATTCAACCATTTAAGTAAGCTGTGTCAATATCTATAAGCACTCCAGATTTTCAATATAGTGCCAAGTAATTTCTGTCTTATCATATGTTCACACATTTGGTCAAAAAGAATCCATGCTATCACAACTAGCTAAGACCAAACACACCTGAGATTTGTTTTAAACATTCATTATTCCATGGCATGGAAAGATGTTTATAATCTATAGTGTTGAGTACAAAAAAAGGTTATAATAAATAGAAATAGTATGATCCAATTTTCATAAAAATTCACCTATATTTACCCATGTGAATATATGTGTATGTACATGTCTGTATGTGTATATGTACACACATACAGATAAAAAGTCTGAAAAAGCCTATACAACAATTTATCATAGCTTTTTCTAAGTGTCAGGATATCAATAATGACTATAGCAACCCTTATCTGGCTCCTACAGTGTGCCAGGTGCTAAGTAATGTACAGATAATAACTCATTTAGGATTCATGACAACCCGGTAAGATAGGTATTATTATCCCAAATTTATAAAGGAGGAAACTGGAGCACAGAGAGATCATACAATAGGGCAGTCAGGATCCAAACCTAGGCAGTCTGGATCCAGGGTCTGTGCGCGTAACTGCCATAGTATACTGCCTTATACTTCATTATCAACAATTCTACAATCTTCCCTTTATCAAGTAACTTATGTCCACTTTGAAAAGGTTTAAACATTCTTGAGTAGAGATTGTGATGAAGAGAGGGTCACCAGAAAAGGGGTGATGAGGTTAGTCAAAAATGATTAACTTTATCTGGAATGTGTCCTCATTCCTTGAGGGTTTTTAAATAAATTAAATTTGCACAACTGATATATGAAAACAGTCCCTGTGCAAAAAGTCAGAACATTCTAGATAAAGCTAAACATGTTTTTGACCATCCCTTCCATTTCTGGTATCTTCTCACTTCCTTCTCCAGGGTTAACCAACACTATCACTTATTCTGTGCCTTTCCAATCTTTGTGTGTGTGTGTAATCATATACACACATACACACATATATGGTTATTGGTGATTTGTTAAAATTTTATTTCCTACATCTTTGATTTTTTTTTTTTTTACAAAGAATATGCACTACTTGGGTAATTTAGAAAATATTTGCTTTAAATTTCATTACTTAAAATGGTCCATCCTGTTTCCAGAAGCTGTGTAACCTGGCGTAAGCTTCTAATTACCTTGTCTAGGGCAGTTTCCTCTTCACAAAATAGAGATTAAAGGTTCCTTCCTCATTGGGCCACTGTTAGTAATGAATAAGATAATGCAGTAAAGTGCCAAGTACAATACCTGAGCTCAATGAAGGGGGCTTGTTATTTTTTATTCATGTTTGGAAACTTCTCCAAGGAATGCTTTATGATTATTTTCTGGATATTTCCTTCATGTTTTAAAGTTGACTGGCTGCTAAGAAATGAAAAATAGAACACTCTAGGGTCAAGAGCTTCAGGTATAGGACCCACTATTTGCCTTATACCTTTTAATCGGAAAATAAAGGCAATGATTTGAAATTTAAGATCAATTGTCCAGGTTAACTATTCACAGCTCCTGCTCTTCTTCCTATTACTGTTCACATTGTTTGGCCATTTTACTATGAGAAAGAAAGAAAGCAAGAAAAACCTAAATTTATTTTTTCTTCTGAAAGTAACTCCCCAAATGTGGAAGGATGAGTTTAAAGGTAATAGTTAAGATAAACATTTGGCTTATGAGTTCTATCTTTTCTCTACCAGGAAAGGGAAATGAAAACAAGAAATAGGAAGTAGAAAATACCCTTTATACAGTATACACGTATCATGTGTGCTTTGCTATGTCACATTGTCCCTAAGATCACACTTTAAGCCAGGTTACAAGTGTGTTTTACCAAAGTCATTCCAGAACTTCCTGTCATAAGTAGCTTTAGGTCGGACCCAGGACAGACTCATCTTTATCCTTATTTTGGAGAAGTTAGCACTATAGAAAGGTGCCACCATACAGAACATTCCTAAAGCACTTCAAATTCTACAGAATTTTTTGTCTTCCATAGCCCCATGTGCAGGATAAGTCACTATCCTCCAATTAAAGTTAGGGGGGAAATGAAGCAGATAAAATGCAATTATTTTGTCTATAATCATAGAGTTAGCCAGGGAGCTAAGAGTTTTAGAACTCAGCTGGCCTGCCTGAGATAGAAGACAGGTGCACTGTGCTGCCGGGTGGGCAGATGGACCGGACACAGACAGGGTGAAGGCAGGGATCTGAAGGACGCCTGGGACACAGGAGGGGAGATTGTAGGCTCTCCTGGGAGGGCTGCCCAGACAGCTGCGGGCACAAATTCCCCTCCCCTGGGGCACAGGAGAGGGCTGGCACAATTTCCCTCCGCCACCCCTCAGCATAAAGTAACCTCGGTAAGCAGCACAGTGCCAACAGAGTCAACCTAAACTGCTTACACCAAGCCCTGCTCCCCTGCACTCTGCGGGTGCTGCTTCACTAGGGCAAGTGTGCCTGAGAGCCAGAGCAGCAGGCTCCTCCCCCAGAATGACCAGCACAAACCCCACAGCCACCAAGTCTCTTGACCACAGAGTGCTGCAAAGCTCCAGCTCTGCTGGAAATAGGATCTGGTTTCTTTTAACAAGCCAACCAGAGCATACCTAGTTAAAACTTGCCACACTCTGGACAAGGTCCAAACACTGCCCACTGCAGGCGAGGAGAGCCTCTGCAGACGACCGGCCTGAAGGACAAAACAGCCAAAACAAAGCAGCAGAGTGCACGCAGCACACACCAGAGACACTCCCTGAAGCACCAGGCCCTGGACACTATATGACCTCTTCTTCATAAAGCCATTACTCTCAGGAACAGAAAACATAACGGGCTTTCCTAACACACAGAAGAAGACAGACCTAGACAAAATGCCAAGATGGAGGAATTCATCCCAAAAGAAAGAACAAGAAAAGGTCATGGCCAGTGATCTGATTGAAGCAGATATAAGTAATATGCCTGATCCAGAATTTAAAACAACAATCATAAGGATACTAGCTGGGCTTGAGAAAAGCATAGAAGATACCAGAGAGTCCTTACTGCAGAGAAAAAAGACCTAAACACTGGTTAGGCCGAAATTTACAAAAAAAAAAAAAAAAAAAATGCTACAACTGAGATGTGAAACTAACTGGATGTAATGACCACAGGATGGAAGAAGCAAAGGAATGAGTAAATGATATAGAAGATAAAATTATGGAAAATAATGAAGCCGAAAAGAAGAGGGAAAGATAAGTATCAGATCACAAATGTAGACTTAGGGAACTCAATGACTCCATAAAGCATAGTAACATTTGTATCATAGGAGTCCCAGAAGAAGAGAGGGGAAAAAGGGGCAGAAGTTTTATCTGAGCAAATTACAGCTGAAAACTATCTGGGGAATGAAATGGACATCCAAATCCAGGAGGCACAGAGAACTCCCATCAAAATCAACAAAAGCAGGGCAACACCAAGACATATTGTAAAACTTGCAAAATATAGAGATAAGGAAAAAAATCCTGCAGCAAGAGAAAAGAAATCCTTAACTTACAAGGGAAAACAAATAAGGTTAGCAGCAGACCTCTCCACAGAAACTTGGCAGGACAGAAGAGAGTGGCATGATATATTCAACGTGCTGAGGAAAAATATGCAGCTAAGAATACTCTACCCAGCAAGGCTATCATTCAGAATAGAAGGAGAGATAAAGAGTTTCTCAGACAAACAAAAACTAAAGGAGTCTGTGACCACTAAACCAGCCCTGTAAGAAATATTAAAGGGGACTCTTCAAGTGGGGAATAAAAAGACCAAAAGCAACAAAGACTAGAAAGGAACAGAGAACATCACCAGAAACAACAACTTTACAGGTAACACAATGGTATTAAATTCATATCTTTCAATAATCACTCTAATTGTAAATGGACTGCTCCAATAAAAAGACACAGGGTTTTGGAATGGATAAAAAAACAAGACCCATCTATATGCTGCCTACAAGAGACTCATTTTAGATTTAAAGACACCTGTAGATTGAAAGTGAGGGGATGGAGAACCATTTATCATGCTAATGGTCATCAAAAGAAAGCTGGAGTAGCCATACTTACATAAGACAAACTAGATTTTAAACCAAAGACTGTAATAAGAGATGAAGAAGGACACTATATCATTACAAAGGGGTCTATCCAGGAAGAAAATCTAACAATTATAAATATTTATGCCCCCAACTTGGGAGCCCCCCAATACATAAAACAATAACAAACATAAAGGAACTCGTTAGTAATAATAAAATAATAATAGGGGACTTCAACACCACACTTACAGCAATGGACAGATCATCTAAGCAGAAAATCAATAAGAAAACAACTGACGAGATGGACTTAATAAACATATTCAGAACATTTCATCCTAAAGCAGCAGAATACAGATTTTTTTCAAGTGCACATGGGATAGTCTCCAGTATAGATCACATACTGGGTCACAAATCAGGCCTCAACAAGTACTACAAGATTGAGATCATACCATGCGTATTTTCTGACCACAATGCTATGAAACTTGAAGTCAACCAGAAGAAAAAATTTGGAAAGACCACAAATACATGGAGGTTAAATAACATACTACTAAAGAATGAATGGGTCAACCAGGAAATTAAAGAAGAAATTTAAAAAATACCTGGAAACAAATGAAAATGAGAACACAACAGTCCAAAACCTTTGGGATGTGGCAAAAGTGGTCATAAGACGGAAGTATGTAGCAATACAGACTTTCTCAAGAAGCAGGAAAAGTCTCAAATACACAACATAACCTTATACTCAAAGGAGCTAAAAAAGGAACAGCAAATAAAGCTTAAAGCTAGGAGAAGGGAAATAATAAAGATTAGAGCAAAAATAAATGATATAGAAACAAACAAACAAAAAAAAACAGTAGAACAGATCAATGAAACCAGGAGCCTATTCTTTAAAAGAATCAATAAAATTGATATACCCCTAGCCGGACTTATCAAAAGGAAAAGAGAAAGGACCCAAATAAATAAAATCATGAATAAGAAGAGAGATAACAACCAACACCACAGAAATACAAACAATAATAAGAAAATATTATGAAAAACTATATGCCAACAAACTGGGCAATCTGGAAGAAATGGATAAATCCCTAGAGGGGCTTCTGAGTGGCTCATACGGTTAAGCACCTGCCTTCGGCTCAGGTCATAATCCCAGAGTCCTGGGATCGAGCCCCACATCGGGCTCCCTGCTCAGTGGAGAGCCTGCTTCTCCCTCTGCCTGCTGCTCCCCTTGCTTGTGCTCTCTCTCTCCCTCTCTCTCTTTCACTCTCGCTCTATCCCAAATAAATAAATAAAATTTTTAAAAATAAATAAATAAAATAAGTTCCTAGAAACTTACAAACTACCAAAACCGAAACAGGAAGAAATAGAAAATTTGAACAGACCAATAACCAGCAAAGAAATTCAATCATAAATTTTTCAAGAATACAGCCACTTTGGAAAACAGTGTGGAGGTTCCTCAAAAAATTAAAAATAGAGCTACCTTATGACCCAGCAATTGCACTCCTGGGTATTTACCCCAAAGACACAGATGTAGTGAAAAGAAGGGCCATATGCACCCCAATGTTCATAGCAGCGATGTCCGCAACAGCCAAACTGTGGAAAGAGCCGAGATGCCCTTCAACAGATGAATGGATAAAGAAGATGTGGTCCATATATACAATGGAATATTACTCAGCCATCAAAAAGGATGAATACCCAACTTTTGCATCAACATGGATGGGACTGGAGGAGATTATGCTAAGTAAAATAAGTCAAGCAGAGAAAGTCAATTATCATATGGTTTCACTTATTTGTGGAACATAAGGAATAGCATGGAGGTCATTAGGAGAAGGAAGGGGAAAATGAAGGGGGGGAAATTGGAGGGAGAGATGAACCATGAGAGACTATGGACTCTGAGAAACAAACTGAGGGTTTTAGAGGAGAGGGGGTGGGGGATGGGTTAGCCCAGTGCTGGGTATTAAGGAGGGCAAGTACTGCATGGAGCACTGGGTGTTATACGAAAACAATGAATCGTGGATCACCACATCAAAAACTAATGATGTATTGTATGGTGACTAACATAACATAATAAAATAAAATTTTAAAAAAAGAAATAATACCAAATAAAATCAAATGTGTAATATTATCATTAAAAAAAGTACCACCAGCTGTTTTCATAGGGCTAGAACAAACAATTCTAAAATTTGTATGGAACCACAAAGACCCTGAATAGCCATAGCTATCTTGAAAAAGAAAAGCAAAACTGGAGGCATCACAATTCTGGACTTCAAGTTATATTACAAAACTAGTCATCAAGACAGTTATGGTACTGGCACAAAAACAGACACATAGATCAATGGAACAGAACAGAAAACCCAGAAATGGA